ATTTAGATTATTAAGCTTGAAAAATTTTTCGATTACATCTTTAACTTCTATTTAATTAACTTAACTAACAGTAAATAGTCTTTATTTTTGTTAGACTATTTATCAAAATCTTCTCCAGAGTTCATATTAATCTTTACTATTAATCATATCTGAAATGTTTATAAAGTAAATCATTAAGGAGTGATTACATAATTATAATATAATTTCATATTTTTTGGATGGTTACATAATACTTCCATTAAATTCTAATCTATTTCATTAATTTACATTGTTATTACTTATAATAGAATATTCACTAAGAGTATTCAACAAGAGTTATTTCACATGAAACTGATTGAAACTTTTCATATTAATGTTCATACAGTTTATCTATATACATAAGTAATGAATTCGGTTTATGACTGAAGGAGAGGTTAAAGGTCAACTAATAATTTAAGTGTAATTAGAGAATAATTACGTTGTAGTTAATTATGTTTAATTAATCTCTATAAACTAACAATACAGTTGTATTACTTTGTAATAGATGCATTAAGTGATTCATTTTACTGGATTTAAGTATTGATCATTAAACGTAATCAAATCATACCAAATATTGTGGTAAACTGTGATCATATTGATCTTTTTAGTTCAGGTAGATCAAATGATTAAATATTGTAATATGGATGTAAATGTACTGATAAACTTATCCGATACTTTCTAATATGTGGTTATGAAGATTGTTGAATTTCATTGAAATCATGAACCGATCTACGTTAGAGCACTACTAAAAACGTGTAAACACCAGATAACTATTTCATCCTAATATGGTTTTCTGATTTCAATTATCATATATTTGTTTTCCTTGTATACATACTAGGTTTTTACATTTTTCTTAAAATACCAGAGACATCTTTTCATGAGAGTCATTTATGATGAAATATGTCTCCTTTATTTATTATTTAACATTTACTATTATATATATTGTACTATGTTATTAACATAATATACCTAACTAATCTTAAGGATAAATCACTTTCATTGTTAAATAAACAACATTATCCCTCTTTTATCCATTTATATAATAACTGAGTTGTTAGTTAGGCGTATACATCTGTCCATGCATGCACACTTTTAATTTTGCTGATTTTAACATACAGTGTTATTTGTTTTGCATGAGATCATCAACAGTGTGTAATAAACATATTTATTGATTCGTTAAATGTTATCGCACTAGTTTTAACCAATGCATGTGTATGTGATCCACCTTTTATTGTTTAATGTTTACAAAAATTAATACGAATGCATAGTGTATTTGCTTTGATTTCATGCATGTCTATTGTCTAACCATCTCACCCCTTCTCTCTTGGTTCTGCACAAATGCAATAACAAAACGTTGCTGGTTTACAACCATGGATTCTTGCATGCAACATTCTATGTTTGTTAATTACGATTTGTTTTTATGCGGGTGGTACATCATTAAATTTATTTTCACTTGGTTGGTTGGTATGGCGGCAAAACTCGTGTTCTATCTCACTGGTTGAGAATGGATTTTAGCAACAGAAAAAAAGACTTGTATCAAAATCATATCATATTCATAAACGCAGGTCGGATTTTGATTCCTGCATCAATATTGCACCAAATGTCAACGGACAAACATCTACTACTGCTGCTAGATACCATTCAGACAAAACTAAAAATGATAGGTTTCATGATGAGATTGTACGGTTCAATGATGGTGAAAATGATGATACCGATATTGAGGAAAATGAAATTTCACACGTAACGCGTAGATATTGCAATACAGTTAATATTCTTAAATGTGTCCGTTACACTGGAACATTCCTATCATTGATATATTTACTTGTAAAGCTCTTTTATTTGTGTAATTCAGTTGGCCAATTATTTTTAATGCAATACTTTCTCGGTTTTACAAACTATAATTCTAGTTTATTTGGCATGAGTATTTTATATAATATACTACATGGTCAAGATTGGCGATCAACCTTAATATTTCCACGTGTAGCTTATTGTTATGCACCAGTAAAACACTTGGGTACAAAAGTTAACACTGCTACAGCTCAGTGTGTCTTACCGGTAAATATGTTAAATGAAAAAATTTACATATTTCTCTGGTGGTGGATTCTATTAGTTTGTGTAGTAAATTTTCACAGTCTACTTCGATGGTGTTTACAATTCGCCTGTCAAAATCGTGGCTGTCAGTTTGTGATAAACTACATTAAATTGTCGAATGTTTTAACTTCATCCGAATTATATTTTGCTGAGAAATTCGCTCGTAAATTCTTACGACGTGATGGAATGTTCCTGCTACGCATGCTTGCATTGAATGCTGGTGAAATGGTCACGTCTGATATTGTCAATGAAATGTGGTTGAATTACCGTAGAATTGTCATTCAGCCGGTGGTTGAAAATCATAAACATCATAATCAGAGATTAAATCCTAATGAATCTAGTTTGGATAGAGGGTCAAAAACTGATTCTTCAACTATAACAAATGAAAATGGATACTTGGGTACATCTGAGTCATCAGCACTAAAGAATAATAATCAGGATAATGAAAAAGCGAGTATTGAGCTGATAGATCTACCTGGAAGATAGTCCTATGTTTAAATAATGTTTCTTTATGTATGCATGTGTTTGTTTTTGGGTTTTTGGTTTCTCAATTTAATTTCGAATAAATGATATGACTGAGAGAAACCAAACTACCGGTGACTTGAGAATGTTTAAGACCAAAACGCTTCTAATTTTTCAGATTTTCCTTTCAGTTTGTGCCTTCTTTTTCGTTAAATGCATTTTTCATTTCCATCGTCCATAACAAGACGATGACTAAGATTATAATAATATTAATTTTTTGAGACTTATTGACGTGCATCATGCTGACGATGTCATTATTACTACTAAAATTGTTATAAGTAGCCATTTTTGCCAAATAAAAATATAGAATACAATGGATTTTTCCATACTATAATGAAAAAAATAAATCAGATTTACTTACTTTTCTTTATTGTCTTAAGAGAGAGGGACTTTCACATCAATGCGTTTGTTGAACATTTGATAACATTGCACTTTCAGTTTGACAATATGATGTATACATGCACTTAAAGTCATTCTTTTTGGTAATTTAAACTAGTTAGTGATAATTCATGTTGTTTTACGATATATCTGGGGATGAATCAATTGGTAACAAGTGTAAATTTTTGGCTTTTGCATGTTGGTGAACTAGTCAACATCATTCATTTTTATTTAGTGAAATAAATGTTTTCCTTGAGGACGAAAATGTATCTTCACTTCATAAAACTAACTTCTCGACCACTTTTTATGTAATTCACAATGGTCATAAATGCTATGGTATAAGGCTATTATTCACCAACTTATGTTTATCACTTAAACCAGTATGAAATAAGATATTTACACAATGGTGATCTTAATTAGAGACTTCATAAAATCGCGAATTAATTGAAGTCCGAAACATGGACAGCTAGATATCTCTACGGTGGATTAGCAGTATTAGGCTCACCAAAGCTACTTGGTGTTTCTTGGTTTGAACATACAGATGACTATGGACACGAAAGAGCACCAAGATCTTTGGTTTAAATGGATCAGTTGTTGACGGAAATTGCTTTCAGAATAAACAAAACCACATTAAGCAAACTTATTTATGAGTTGGTTTAGTACTGTACTTTTAAGTGTCCCGGGCTTGTTAACAACCAGGTATAACTTTCACATATTCCACTATAACAATCATCTTCATAAATCAGTGAGATAAATTGTATATACACAGCATTTTTCATCTGTCTATACCTCATGTGCACTAGTTCATTCAATATTATGATTACTCAAGCTATTGTTTGAAAAAAATGTATCAAACAAAATACTAACATAATGCCACTTCGTTGGTAGGCTATTAATATATCTGAAAGGGTACTATAAACATACAGAATTAGTTTGCTTGTAGTCTTCTCTCATACACATGCAACTCACGAAATAGACGCTATAGTGACTAGACCTATGCATATCAACCAATGAAATTTTCAGTTCGCCGTATTCAGTCGAAACTTAGAACAGCAATTGTGATTCAGATTACAATTCCGAGCTCTGGATTTTTCAGCAAACCATTTGCATATTGGGAGGACCTACTTATCGGCGACACCAGAAAATGGGTTGTTTTGTACTATTGATTTACTAATCCATTAGAAAATCGAGTGTTAGGGAATTCCGTTACGTGGATATTTACTATTGAGAATGATCTAGCGTATAAACCTAGCCATACCTTCATACAAAACTCAGGCTCAGCTGACAGTGAATCGGTAATCAATTTGGAAAATGTTACTTTTAGATATACAAACCCGAAAAGTTACATTGAACCACTATGTTGTACGACTACTTTTTAATTAATAAGCTGTAACCATTCAAATAATAGGTTGTATTAATCATGAGTGCATTAAATTTTCGCCGGTTATAGATTCCATTACTATACATTTTTAGATGATGATAGTTAATAATGAAAACGATGAGAAAATTTTTGTCTTGTCTGAAGCGTTCCAGTTGAAATTATCATGATTTTTTGACTTAAGTCTACTGTTTACTACTCCAAAATATCGAATGTATTATGGTGGCTCGCTTTCTATGATAATATACTAGACATAATTCACATGATTAAACTGATAATTTTAGTCATAGAATCAGTCATATACAAAAAAACAAAACAACTAACCGACTGACTGAGTGCAATAATATGTACCATGCTGAACAAAATATACAATCAAATTAGAATAAAAATGACTTATTTGTCAGTCAACCAGCCAATAGTAGATGATGAAATGAAGGTCGCAAAGTAACCACTAGTTATTTGACTTTATCAATCATAACGAAATGCTTGATATTACACGAATATTCAGTGAAATATCCCTTATTTTGCATTACATTTAACCATGCAAATTTTATGTATTCATTTTTTTGCAAACATAAATTTCATTTAGGATTTTTCTGTTTTCTTTATTTAGCAACGTGAATACCATCATGGATTATGGCCTCGAGTACGTCGTCGAATGAAAAAATGGGGTTATTTATTCTTCATAAGTAAACGTCTTGGGACACGATTATTTGGAATTTATTTATTCATTAAATGTCTTTATTTATTAAATGCAATCGGACAAATATTTATGATGCAATCATTTCTTGGTTTAAAATCAAATTATACATTATTTGGTATAACTATATCTAGAAATATTTTAGCTGGTCTCGATTGGGAAGTGACAATGATTTTTCCACGTGTTGGATTTTGTTTAGTTCCATTAAAACATTTTGGATCTAATAATTATGCAACAGCACAATGTGTTCTACCAGTAAATATGCTTAATGAACGTATTTATATGTTTCTATGGTTTTGGATTGTTCTCACTGCAACAATTACAGCTATCAGTATACCAGCGTGGTTTACACGTATGAGTTATGAAAAATCACGTACACGTTTTATAAAAAAATATTTAAAACTTGGTGAACAAGTTAGTAGGAAAGATAGATATATGGTAGAAAAATTCACCGTATTATTTTTACGTAATGATGGTGTTTTTCTACTGCGTATGATTGCTATCAATGCCGGTGAATTGATTTGTTCTGAAATAGTTTGTCAATTATGGCATATATTTCGTGAAAAATATTTTTATCGTGATTTCACACGTTGTAAACGTGGTTGCGATGAAATGCATCATTTAGGCTTGAGATTATCTCGTGGTATTGTCAATTTAAAAGAAAGGTATTCCAAAGAAAATAAACAAATTAAATTGGAAGCTACAGCTTCAGCACCTCCACTTACTGATGCACCTCTTGGAACAGATGAAGACGAAGGTGGTTACGCTGATGATGATGAAGATGAACAGAAAGATATAAAAAAACATTATAGCAAAAAATATTCATGGGAACAAAAAGAGTCCGTTTAACTATATTATTGTTAACACACATATCGTCACCTGTAACACAGTCATAAACGTTGCTTTGAGATGTACAGATTACATATTCAGCTCATTTTTTATAAACATTTTTTAATGAAAAATATTTATTATTATTTTTTTGTTACATCTGCTATTTATTAGTGAACGTATTGAAGATATCTAATGAGTTATCTTTAGTTTACTCTCCTTTTTCTTGTGTTCACTCAAGAAAACAATTTCCCCTTTATTGTACAGTTAACCTTCTCATTGATTATGTTTTCTTTTTGTTTTTGAATGATCAAGAGTTTATGCATTTATATAAATCAGTTGTAATTAAATTATTCGTCGTTATACTTTAGATATCAGTATTATTATTGACTAATAAAGGTTCTCTATAAAGAAATACATAGAGAATATTATGTAAGCGATGGTCTTGGTTATGTACCGATCACTAACTAATCGCAAAATTTATCATGCCCTAAATGAAATCCATTAAAGCTTACTAAAGAATTTTTTCTAATCGATCTGTGATAAGGGAAATAAGTATATAATCAAAAAGAAGCTGATGAGTAATTTATCACAGTATGACATTGACTAACTTTCTAAACTGATCTGTGATTGTATTCATGTACTTTATTAAAAGGAATGAAAATGTCTGTAGCATACAAACAAATGTAATTTGAACTTGATAAATTATCAAACCTTATGTGAATTAGTTGATATAATTTTGTTCCATTCGTGTCGAAATTTATTCTTTGAATTTCTTCCACTTAGTATTAATTGACGAAAAGAGATCATAGATGAGGAGGGTGTCAGTAGCAGATGTCAGTAGTAAGCAAACTACGATTAACACAGACGCTGAATTGAAGGTAAATTATTCATCATAAATAAACTCTGGATAGATGGCTATAATGGTAGATTAACCTCTCTGAAAAATAATTTATCTAACTTCTAGTAACTGTATAGTTGAACATTATTCAAACACAATCTGTATAGTATATTAATTGAGAAATTAATTTCAAACTTTGGACTAAGAAATCAGGATATCATAATTATTTGTCTCACGGAAACTTTAATGATGCTTCTCTCGAAATAATATTGAGTTATTAATATCCTTGTTGTTTTGAGTTGCTGCAAAATATGGTCACTTCAATCGGTACAATACTGTACTACGTTCATTACATTTATGGTTATCTGTATGTATAAATACTGAAATGATTTCAACTGGTTCATGCTATTAATTTTAGATGGTAGTTCTGAAGTTTAAGACTTACGATTTATCTTAAATGTAGTCCGATAATGCTATTTAAGCTTTTCAACCATGAAAAAAGATAATTTAATTGAAAAGTACGCCTTTGAAAAATGTTGTCTAACAATTTGTCGGACCAAGATTGACCAGTTAAATGGGTTATTCATGCATCTTACTGAAATAATGAAACTTATTGACCAAGTACAAGCTAGCGAACCTCACTTTGAATTACACTTTATGCGTGAGACCGAGCGATACTACCTATGTGTTTGAATTAAAGTTCAAATGAAACAATTAATATACGTCGAATTCAGGAGCTTCGTTCGGACGGTGAAATCGCAGAGTCTATCGCTCAATAGCTGTAAAAAATCAAAGAAAAGCTACCGTATATAACTCACTATATGTGAAAATTATATTTGAAATAATCTCAGTCTCGCGTGCGAACGCCTAAGCTACTAGACCACTGAGCCGGCATCCCATGGTGTTGATTGCTTAAATAATCGTTTCGTACAACTGTATTGTTTTCTGATTTGTTATCATAAATAATAGGCTAAATAACTGTATATGGGAGTGCTATGTGTCAAAAAAGTTTTATTTTTTATTTTTCTGCCCCTTAGAATTTGGCTTATTTGATCGGTTATGTGTTTGTTTAACTGAAACGTTTGTGAAATAGTATAGAACTAATAAACCTAATATTGTAAATAATTGTATATGATGAATTTATAATAGAAACGTATTAAGGACAACTTAAGTCATTTGATGACATAAAAAGTATCTGACGAAACAAGTGATATGTGGTAGTGAAAGTAAAATATGATTGATTGTTGAGTGTGGATAAACAGCCACAGCCTATGGACTATCAATTATGTAATTTTTCCCTTCTTACCATTGATTTCTACTCTCAACTCACTGCTTGTAATTATATTGAATAAAGTCTTCTCGAGTGTTAGATCGGTTCTTTAATTTATGTCACGAATTCTAGTTCTAATATGATATGATTGACCTTATTAACGTATCATTGTAATATACGTGTGAGAGGGAAAATAATATTGTAAACCATTCGTTATATAAACAAGTGATAATGTTTTCTCACTAAATGATATATCAAAAGAAAAATAGAATACACAGAAAACTAAATGAAAATAATCAATATGAGAAATCATATAATCACATGACTGAAGTATGGAGAAGTTCCTTGAATTAACCAAACTACAGTGAAATGAGTTAAGTACATTAGTATTATTCATTAAATAAGAAAAAAGAGAATTCAGCGAAGAAAATTTTTCTTTTCGAAGAAATCATTTACTTAAGCTGTACATTCGTTTTATATAGTTATATGGAAAATGTATGTCTATAGGAGGATAGAAAAAATTGCATCACCAAAATGGATTCGAGGATAAATAACAAACGACGTTACGTACTAATCAAGGGGTAAGGAAGAAAATCGTTTATGGGTCAGATACTAGACCACTCAGTGAGATATGTTCAAGAAGTTATGTCTGTATTCAACTATGTAAGTTACATTTTTAATTAAATGCTGTTGATAATGGTAACAACAAGTTATTTTTAAGGAGGATAATATATTCTGGTGTAGAAATCATTAAATTTTAATAAATTTAAAGAATTTTAATATGTTCTGAATTATGAGAAGTACAGAAGATATACAATTTCGCTTGGAAGAACGAGTGAATCCCAACCAGATAAGAGGAATATTATGAAATGCTTGTTTTTGGATCATTGTTAGCCAATGAATAGCTGTCCTATTTTTATTTGGATTACATGAGTAGTCTTATGCAAGTTATATCCAAATCTATTCTCACTGAAGTTATCCGTAACATATTTATGTTCAAGTAAATTGTTATATTTAGTGCCTACAGTCATTTCTGAGTTCATTAAGTGCGTGGGCGCTGCTAAGTCATGTCATTTTCACCAGAGATTTCATTTAAAGCCTTAACTTTCAACATATTTTTGCTATTTATCCTTCATATTCGGCTGAGATATACTGACATATCCATAGTAGACGATTTTTGATAACTTTAGGCACTTGAAATGAAATATTTATTGAAAATTATGCTCCAACATAAAGTATTTATCAACCAAATGAACGTAAAAGAGGCCGAAAGTGGTGGACACCACATACTCCTTGAAAATTGAAAACGTAGATGAAATCCTTAGCTTATGTATTCTCTCCTGTTCCATTTCTCGATTCATGTTTCTGATTGATGAAAAGTGAGTTGAATGAGAAGGCCGGATCAAGAGGGAAGATATGTTAACTCTGTACCCTGAATAAAACTAAATCTGTGACCTAGATGTTCTGAATCATTATTTAATCCATATACTATAACCATTGAAAATGACAGTCGTTCAATCATCCGATATATTGGTTTATTCTGATTTTATTTGGTTAGTTGTTTTTAGTAATAAAAATTATTATTCATATTAACTTCCTTTGAAAAACCTGCCTACAAATGAGAAAATAATTCTGGTTTGGCTCTGAATTTAATTGGAAACTGCAACTAACTTAAATTTCTACTAGTCTCAGATGATTTACCTCTATTTATTTTTATGACGGTTTAATTATAGTCCAGGATTGTTGTGTTAAAATGAAGGTATTAACGATAATTGAATTCCACAATTGTGAAAAAGTGATGATCCATATACAAACAACAATGTCGAACAAAACGTTATAAATATTTAACAATCACTAAAGGATTCGAGAAAGAGTTAAATATAAAGTGGATAAAATATTCTTATTTATAACAAAACAAAAAGAAATACAAAATCAAATATACGTGACTTGAACAGATGGATTATTCTGTTTCAGTATGATTGAACGCTGGTGGAATTTCGCTTATGGAATAACCAAACTAGAGACTAGCTGAAATGCAATAAATAATGCTCATCTTATGCTATACAGGTAACTGCAACATTATGAAACTAGAGATGTTTGCTCTACCATACTGATACTTTCATATACTAAATTTTATGAAGATTGACTTCCAAATATATGTTAAACTCTATTTGAAAATTTTTTGTTTGTAAAATATTACTAATTGCAGGCAATAACTATGAATCTAATGAAATAAAATGAATTCATTTGATTGATTAAGAGAATGTGCATTACACTTCTTATGATATTATTGACTTAGTTCTGATTAGTCCGTGTTAGGATATGTAGATAATGGTGTGAACATCGACACTAAGATGCAGATATATTCGGCCGAAGAGTCTCCAATATGGCGAAATGCTTGTTGTGCATCTCGCTCCTAGCCACAGCTCATGTATTCTATAAAAATGCATTCATGTTATCATACAGAAATCGTTGCTATTTTCTCTCCTCAGGTTTTATTTGTATTCGGACACTGACGAAAGTGCAATAAATTACCTAACTATAACACGTTACTAATAACATTAATTTTTAAGGATAAAGATTTTTGCATTTCATTCTTTGAATGGCTCTATACTGATTGAATCCCATTGGGAATTATGATTAAATTAGGTTATAATGATGTGATGACGTTGAAACATGGTCTTGTTACAGTATGAATTTAAATAAATCCGTCAAAAACTAGCTTCATCAATAATCCAGTAAACACATTGAAATAGCACTCATCATGAGATATGAAAGAATTAAGTTTAATGTTGTATAATATATAGGATTTACTTTTTTGAGGTTTCTTTAGGTAAAGAAGAGGGTCTTCTCTAGTAATTTTCACTTCCAATTAGTTTACAGATGACTTCACTAATGTAGACCACCTAATTAAATCCCAATATCTCCTTTCTAGATTTTCTACTTCCAAGTAGAAACTAGGAGAATCAGTAATCTACTAATTGTTAAGATGATAATATGTTTTCCAGTACTTTTAACTGAAATAGTTGAAATGGCTTGTTGACTAAACGAGAAATTAAAAGTCAGACTAGTCAGCAAATTGCAATTGATCTATGAAATTCGACCTACTCTAAAAGATAAGGCAAAAAATCCAATAGGTAGCTATTCAGTGATTAATCAATAGTAGAATTCTCAGTCCGACAGATCGGTCACAACCATCTAGCTCAGTGGTAATGTATCAAGATGTGTAGCTGAATGTGGTGGGTTCCAGTTCTACAGGGGGGATGAAAAGTACGTTTTGCTAACGAGTGACAACTAACACGATTTCCTAACACGGTTTCCCGTCAAATATACCCAGCCAATCAACAGAAAAAAAGATAATTCACCGTTGATACATGTGTAATGTATATATCTTCTTAATATACGTACACATCTAAACAATACTAAAATACAGAATGATAACAAAAAGGTTACATAAAAAAGAAATATGATACAGATTATACAAAATAATTATTAACTGTACAGTAGGATTTGTTTCCATAAAAAATATGAGATGAAGGTAGATGAAATAATTTAAAAGATCAATTGATACAATGTACTAAGATAAATCCACACTGAAGTACACATTTATAAAGAGATATTCGTTATGATCTCAATCAATATCTAGCTCCATTCAGTGAAAACAGATAGGGTTTATGGTAATTCGGTTTCAATGAAAATAGAAAATGGAAGACTCAGGAATATCTGCGAACTTAATTTCACAACATCAGTTCAATTTCGTGTTGTTGTCCAGGTGACATATCTGCTTTTCGTTTAGCCCGACGACGTTGACGTGTTATATAACAAAATAATATACTTAAGACAAGAAATAAAGCAGCAGATGAACCAAGGGCGACTTTTTCCCCGAATGTAAACCAAGCCACTGGTTGACCTAACCATAAAAGGAATAAAATAATGGTAATTATTTTGTTTATGTTTCACATTGTAGCTGTGTTTTCTAAGAAATGAAAACGAGCGAGCCTCCGTATATTTTATGCTCATCACTTGCCTACTTATAAGTAGGTAAATTAAAATTCAAATAATTTTGAAAATTCCAGATTCGATAGATAAAACAGTCAAGTAGATCTCTACCAGACAAGAAATAAAGTATTAGTAATTTCTTCACTACTGAACTGTCACAAAGCAAATTTACACTGTTCAAAGATGTGGATTTTAGAACTGATAAGTCTAGAAATTACTTTAGTCTTACCTAATAATATCAAGAATGTCTAAGCTATGTAGCGTTTCGACTAAATCCGAAAAATGTAATTCTAACTTCAAAAAATAGATATTGAATTTATTCAAAGACAGTGAATTCAGCTGGCAATCTGAGCCAAAATTACCAACCAAACTTTCACATTCTAGTCTTGATAATTTTTATTCACACTGACAGTAAACAATATGTTGGTAATTGAAAATGTTTATCATTATTTTTAGATGAGAAAGCAATAAAACTTGAAACCGATCAAAATATCGAGTGTTCTTATACGATTGGATTGTGTTTATAAAGACACAGTGTAATTTAAGAATGATACTCATCCTAAACTAATCTCAGGTAAAGAGTCTCTAGAAATCAAAGAGCTATGAACTACTTTTTCCTAGATTAAGACTTTCAATCGGGGTAAATCTAAGATCTGGAAAAGAACAATATACTTGACTTTTCAATCTCACTAGTGCCATGATCTTGACCAGCTCCTGAGTTTGTATTTAATAGTCTAAATTTTCAGCTACAATCAGCTCTAAGTGTTGCAGCGTTCTGATATAATTTCATACCCATGAGTAATTGGCTGACCATCAACCGGACTAATTCCACAGACCATGTTTTCTCTGTAGAAAGTATGTGGTGGTATATATGATGAGTTTTATATCTAATTATTTTCTTACTCCCAACTAAACACGTGGAAACTTTTAGGAAGTTTGTAACTTTCATGTCATGCAATAATAAATAAATTAATACTAAAACGTTGCAGTAAATTCATTGACTAATTACTGTGACTAAAACGTTAACTTAAGCATACTCACATTATATAACTAGAACAAATTCACTTCCTTCAGTCAGACACTAATGATCAAGAATCTAGAGCACAAATCATTAAATCTTAGCTGTTTTCAGACGAGCATTCTCTCAGTTAGATGAAATTCAGCTAGCAGATAGGGTAACAACCGCTAATGTTATCCATCGTATTTTAATCAAAGTTTTATTGAGTATATTAAAATAATGGTCTGACAATAACAGATTCAAATTTTGTTGAATAAGATTAAACTTCTGAATGTACATGAGATTTCTTATAAAAATGTTGAAAGAATCAATTTTCTGACATGTAGATTTTACCGTAACCAATGTATTCACGAAAAACTAGAACGAAGCAAACCTGTAAACTGTTCTTTAAATTGTTTTAAATAAAAAGAACAGCTTGTTTAAACCAAATAACGCTGGTATTTTTTCCGAATTATTATCCGAATCAACGTACTGAATAACTTGTAGATGTACTGGCTTTTTATTAAAATTTGTTCACTGACTTGTACAAGTCAACGGAGTTTCTTAAGGAAAAAATACTACTATTGTGCAGTGGGATGTCTGCTTGTAATAAGCTTTCACGAGACTGTTGTATAATATACACAACGTTATGTTCCTTTTATCCTGTCATTTTTCTTCTATGGCTCAGTTCATTTAATTAATGAGTATTTCTCAAATAAATAACTTAGTAACTATGTAAATATCGCGGAAATCAAGACTCATATAACTGACTTATTTGTCTGGTTGATAATTCTAGTTTAACCTGTTTTAATGTATTTGTGGGTGAAATGATATTTAGAAGACAATTTCTCTTATAAACATCTACCTATCTTTAGTCATCGACATGTTCCTTTTAGCCAACAGATTATGTTACCTTATGATTATTGACTCAGTCATCATTCCAAATGGTAGTTGAGTTGTATGACAAGAAGTAATGATGTTGCTGATTTTTGTTTGCAGTGCGGTTTGTAGGTGTCTTTATGTATAGAGGTCACACACATATACACATAGATAAGTAAAAGAGCATAGAGAATCTTCATCTATTATTCAGTGATAAAAACAACTTGACATTGAGTAATGGCATATACAAATTCAATCTTGTTTAAACATGTTTTCTAATGTTCATGTATATACAAGTTTAAAAATGTTTTTCGTTATGGATTATGAACAAGTAAAATCGATCATTAAATATATTGGACATATTTAATTTATTTACTTTAAGATTACTCATTTAATTAGATCATTTAAGTATCCGTGTATGTACTCACGTGTAGTGAATGTCTGTATGATATCTAACTATTTTCGTTTTCATGATAAAGTGAAATATGTATTCACAAACATTTTCAATACAGATTATGTGTTTAAACAACAACGGTGGTAATAATAAAACTGATAGATTAATGAAGATAACCATGGTATATGAAATAAATGTAAATGTAATTAGTTTGTGCGTTTGTGTGGCTCATAACAAAGACTTATTTCATTTTTTTTCCAATAGTAAGGTCTTATAATAACCATTAGTAAATTGCTACTTGTTTTTCAAAGAGTTGCTTCGACAGAAATTTTCAAAGGAAACCCTGATTAGTCGATTTTATACGTCGTAGATTATGTGCTATAGGGGTGCCATCGAAAATCAAGAAGCGCGGAGCAGTTGTTTCATCATAGTTGGGACTCCCGAACTGATGTGAACAGAGAAATAAGAAGCCTTGTCAAGTAACGGGAACTATTTTCGGGGACATTATTTCATTTGATTTTAAGCTTCTAAAACACTGATATTTACTTTTGTCCCTAGTTTATTCCACAAACCATAGGCTTTTGTTTGATGTGATCTTTACAGCCATAGATTTTTCTGTTCCAAAGTTATTGTTATGTAAACATAATCTTTTGTGCTCTATTTTCTAACCTAATCCTTGGTTTTGGTCATAATTGTATTTTCCTAATTGTTTGTGTGCTGCGCTCTTGTTGGTCATCTATTTATTCATATATCTTTTTACACTAATCTCAATCGGAACCAGATCGGAGTGTGAATCAGCATTGGGAATAAATCGAGTGGTGTTCCAGTCAACCTGTCTTCTGAGCCGCGAGCTTGTGAGTCAATTAGTTTTTCGTCTCTCTACCACAAGTAGTTAGTCTCACTTAGAACCTATGGATACTAGCTTCAATGTTAAACTAGACAGCCATCTTGCCAAAGTCTTAATCTAGATTAGTGGGTAGACAGATCAAGTACGTAACACCAACAGTGCTCACGTGCATCCTAATCAGGGATCAAACCTTGAATTTTAACACTTCGTGAAAAATCCTTAACATTAGAACCACTAAGTCGATGTTTAACCGCACAATTCCAACCCAAATTATTCGAAGATATTGGATGGAATCCTCCCACTATCACTGATTACAGCTAATTTCTTCGAAAATGTGCATGATTTCAGCCAGTCAAGATTTATCACTAGAACTTCAGAAAAGTTATCAATTAGCTGACTACTATAGTCTGATTGAATATGTTTTGTGGAGATTGGTTTGATTTGTAGCTGTTTCAAGGGAGACCAATCTGTAACAAGTACAACATACAAATTCAGATAGTCTACGCGATATCTTTTTAACTAAATTCTAGTTTCACTGATAGGTCATGTTTCATAGGAAGTAAATGAACTATAACTTTGTTATTTGATCTAAATGACTCGATAATATGTGAATGTAACAGCTCTCATGTGTTATATGATCATAATTAAATTAATCCTCAAGTATTTCAACACCAATTACTATTGGTAGTATATTTTGACCGAAAAATACTTCACTATTCTTATATATAGGATAGTGCATGATGCTGTTGTTGTGTGCAAGGTTCAAAGAGAATTGTATGGTGTATGCATGCAAATCCGCCCCGTTATTATTTATATATATATCAAAAGATAGACAAACAGTCAGTGACCGACAAAAACACTTACCAGGACACAAAACATAAATACAAGCAGCTGCTTGTGTATGACCATTACCATCATCAATGAAACAATCAGACTGAGTTATATCAGGTGGATTATTTTTATTATGTACTATAAATTGTGAACTAACTCCTTTATGTTCTTCATTGTAACGTGTTAATTTAGACAATTTATTTTCCATTTCTTTATCATAATATGGAAAACAAGTGATTTTATTTAATCCAACTAATGTATGTGATAAAAGTTTAGATGGTGTTTGACTTTGTCCAGATGCACATTTAATTTGTATGCGACTTTTAACTGATTTTAAACCAACCTCACAAATAGGATTAGTATATTCTGATTTATAGGATAATCTGTGAATTCGATTGTATAAACTGTCGTCGACATAATCTTCATCATCATCATTGTTAATGCCTGATTGCACATGTAAACTATGAGTCCATGTCTGTAATAGAACAAATGTAAAACAACAGTAAAACATAATGAAATGAATGCACATATTTATAGTTGTCAACCTCAAAAGAAGGTCAGACAACAGTAGAATGATCCAATCTGCTTTATTGTCCGGTAGGAAAACTGTTTTCACAATCGAACACCATAAAACGAAGAACTATAGAACATTAAGTAACATTAGAGTGCTGCTTTGTCATGGTTGAAAACACTCATAGTTCAATCAGGGATAAAACTCAGGACTTTCGATCCCTTGCCCCGACAGGTCATATTTTCAAAAAAGTGAATTGGGGCCCATTGGTAGACTTTTCAAACTTCATCTAAATGCTACCGGGTTTGTAATTTTTGTCCTGGTGATATCGATTTGTGAGGAAATCAAATAGTCTTCATGAATGTTTTGTATCATAAGCTAAATTTGTCCCACAGTTTAATCTTTTTTTGTTAATTAGGATTGTTTATCATTCGATAAACATTCATCGTAGAAGTTGAGCTATGTTAGAATTTTACTGAGATCATGAATGGAATAAAGTTAGTCAACCATTTAAAATCTGGAAGCACCGTTGGGATTTCTTATTTTCTTTTATAATCTATGAAATTTAAAATGGTATCTGCGGTTGAATATTCTTGAACATCGTGAAAAATGACACTAATTTGAATTATAAGAAAAACTTTAAATATATCAAATGATTTATTCCTACAGGGTTTCATATTGTCAACATATTTTATAAACATTTTGAACTTTGAAATAGTCCAGAATATTTTTAACAATCATGCGCTAAAACATCAGTTACAATTTGATCTATTCAAATATGACGTAATGGAGTTGAATTATTTTAAATACACTAAACACAACATATAGTTAAAGTAATTACAAGTATTGTTTTAGCAATTGTATTCACCTATTTATACTTGAACATCTGGGCTACCTGTTCCTGTTATCTAGATATTTCAACAAGTTATCTAATTTCATTTGTTGTAACACATCATTATGGCTAATAATCACAGAACCTACTCAAGTGCGTTTCCGAAAAGTCTACAACCTTTCGTTACACAAGATACAAAAGGTCCAATCAGAAATATCGTAGTTTCTGGCAATATGCACCGAAAAGAAAGTACATTATTTAGATGCCGATTGATTGGACTGCTAATATCTAACTGGTGACCATTCAATATTTATCGTCAGGATCAACCAAAAATAAGAAGCAGAAACTTTTTGAAATACTTTGTGCTGATAATACTATATTATACCTGTTGGGAATGTTAGATTCCCAGAACTCACTTGATAAATACCCTATTTTTGTAATTTTCTTTTAGAAATTTGAATTTCTTATTTTCTCGTTAAAAGCGCTAATTTTTACCTTCATGTCGTATTTCCTATTTGGGAGAATCTTAAACGATATCGGCTCGTTGTATCTTCTATTATACTATTGTTTAACACTTCCCAACGACAATTTTATTCTGTATATATACGTTTGATTTGTGCCTGTTGTTATCGCTTGTGCTTCTGCCTAGTTGCAGAATATATTTCCCCGTTTCGAACATGAACTTATCTCTCTAGTTAGAGAGGCTGGGACGCATCAAAATAGCTAGTTTTCTGTCATTGTGTCACAGAGTTTTCGTTCCGTTCTCAAATTAGATGAACTCGTCATCACTTCAAACATAGCAGTACCACAAATTTATTATTGAATAAAGCTAATAATAATAATAATAACAATAATCTAAATAAATATTTGCATTACCATGAAAAAAGAAGATTTATACTTCACTTATTAACCTAAATATAAAGTTGTTATGTCGTTATATTAATTTTTATTTACCAAAGGAAGAAAATATGTTTCAACTTGATTTCTAGATAATCAACTCATATATACAAAATATATAGAGATTCCTTTCTTTTTTCTTTAAATGATTATTATTATTACCATGGCTATTTCTTTCTTAATATAAATACTATGAATTTATTTATTCTAACAGATATACAATATATGATAAGTGTTTTTTCTAAATATGAAACATGATTTTTGGCATTGTTTGTAACAAATTCAAACAAGATACATTTATATGATAAGAAAAAATGAATACAAACAATATTAAAGATTTCTAGGGATGATAATTATTCATTAACTATTTTGGTTAGTCTAGTATGATGATACTACTACTGTTATTATTATTATTATTATTATTTTCAGTTGCAAAGGATGAGAACAAAATAAAAAAACCCAGGTTATATTTATGAAAACAGAACAATAAAAACTTGATTGATGTGTATTTATCACAGGTTATAAGTTGTATCATTGTTTAAATATTAATAATGACAGTATATATTATTATATTACTATTTTATAATGATTATATTCAATATTTCCTGAAGATTAATTGATAAGATTAGATATTTAAGAAAGTCAAAGTTGAATTTCATCATAGATTGATATAAACCGAGAAACCAATGAGAACCAAAGAGCACTAGACATGTATTTCGTCTTGATATGGAACACCTCTGAAATGTACACCTGGAGCATGACTAGAGAGAGAATTGAGAAAATTCAGTTTTCGAAACGAGTACATTACCCGTAAATTAATTGATGGTCTACATTTTTGATTTCAGATGATTGCCAGCATGGCATGAAATCATCCAATTCCATGGATGGGTAACTGGTTCACTTCTGAAAAGATTATACTCCACTAGTCATTTGATATTAATTCATGATGCAATCCAACTCATTTATACTTTACAAATCATCGCTTCGATTTTACACTGATTATCAATTTAATCATGTTATTTTAATGGTGAGTTTCAGCAGTACATTTGTGTTGTTATTGATTTGTGCTATCTGAATATATTAGATATATACATATATGCACACATTACGTCAATACATCCATTAACTTGCATTTCTTTTTAATTATAATGAACGGCATATTTATTAAGGTAAAATATTGTTTTCTTATAAATACTATCGTCAGTTTATTATAACTGATTTGTCAAGATAGACATTTATTTCTAGCATTTTGGATTTGGAATTTGCAACATACATGTATGATCTATCGAATATGAATTTATGCACAATTTATGAAGTGGATAATCAAAATGTTAAATTTTCAAGTTTCACTATCTCATTTTCTCCACTATAGGTTGTTGTTATTATTGGTATTAGTGTTCAAGTTTGTGTTCTCAAACATGATTAGCTGTCTGATGAATGACCATAACCTACTGTAGGCTAAAAATAACTCGAGATCATACGTAAATGCCTATATTTAATTAACGATTAGGAGTTACACTTGGTTTCTATGAAGTTATTAATGACTATGAAAACACTGAAATCCTTTACAACATAGGTCTATGTAATGTAAAAGAAAGCTTTATGAAAAGAAAATGGAACTAACAGTTAATGATATATTTTCGAGTTCTCAAAAGATCACAAATATCCATACTCTTCTTGATAAATTAAATATTTGGTTTAATTTGCTGTCAACTGGAATTCAGTCTGTTGACAGATTCTGTAATGTTTCAGCTTTATGACATAGTTAAGACATAGTCACCGAATTTGAATTGTATGAATAGATCACAAATTCCTCGAACACCCATTCTACTTGATCATAGATATAACACTTTAAAAGCAAAGAGTGAAAGATTCCGAAATCCTGAGTTCAAATGCATCCACTAAAATGGTATTATTACCTAACCACTTTCACTATAAAAATATACTAAACTCAGTGAATAAGAAATTTACCAGTGTCTAAGAAATATTTTTGTTAAACTTTGACTTTATTAATATTGTTAATAATGTTTATAACTCAGGATATTCTTTAAAAGTAGTGTTTTAACAGCTTACTCATCGTACAGCACTTGATAGTCAGAGCCACAAATACTTTAGAATTCATGCAAGGAAAGTGTAACAAAAGTTTACTATACCATATTTACTAAATATACTATTTGACAGATGGGTTTTCAGGGTTGATCTAATCAAAAACCAATGCATTTGAGCCTAAGGCTTATTTACTGTTGTCCTTATTTTCTTAGAAACAATTCATTTAGTTTTAATTTTCTACTATAACATATATATATATTGTACTGAATAAACATTATTGAGTAGTTATTATTATCAATACACCTTCAATACAGAATAAATATTTAAAAATCTATGGGAACAAAATGTATTCACTATGTCACTTTATTCTATAGTTTTGTAGATAAATAGGTAGTAAGATGTGAAATATTAAAATTTACGACAGAATTTTCACCTTAAACTTCTATGTAATAACAGTTACCAGGGAAATAGTCATATGTGATGTCCATACATGGCATATATGATAATATCTTATACTAAAACAAGTTCATGCAGCTTTGGAAAACGCCTATACAAACGTCTTGGGCACATTATGTTTCTAAAATAATCGAACATTTTTACCGATACACGCAGTCGCAAGACAAAAATGGTATTCCGCCTTTTTCAAACTTCAGTACATATTGCTTAGAACGGTGACAGTTTTCATGCCCTAAAACACCATAAATTGGGATCAGTAGTGCGCCACTGCTAACAGGAGAAAACATTTACCAGACAACACATGTAGAAATAATCAAGTCATACGTAGGACTAGCAATCTCGTTGGTAGAAATCAGTAACAAGAAATACTTTTATGTACTACATAGTCTTATTTCTACCCGTCTACCGACTTTCACTCAATAAAATTAAATTTATCATAATAATTGTCATCCAGTTAGGTAAAACTAATTTGTTTATTGATGATAATTAATTATAAACTTCCCTAATCTTTTTTATGAAACTATATTTTTCAAATATAGGAATCAGTTTAATGCCATTTTTGTATCTTCCCTTTTTTGAAATGTTATCACCTTTCAAACTCTCAGTTTCATTAATTAAAGTATCTCAACCTTTTGTTTCAAACCAAATTATTCATTGTGATTTGAAGCTGTTAGGAATCTTGTTATTCCAAATTTACTATTTGAGAAAATCAGCCTATATAAAGACACAGCGTGCGTTTTTATGTAGACAAAGCGATTTTTTGTAATTTAATTGGTATCTAGTGTGACTGTGAGCAAAAAAGATTATTATAAGTTTGAATTAAGCATCACAAAAGAGTCCATCATTTAATAAAACAGTACTGAACGTAGCAAACTCGAATATGAAGATGTTGTTGTGCAGAAATAGTGTTACTCTGGACTTACAGTCAGTTTTTCTTACCAACATAGAGAGTAACGCAGATGTGGTTTGCTCTAAGCTATCGTATTATTTCAGAGCGACGAGATAAAATTGAGAAAATGAGCAGAAAAAGAGTTTGCAACAATGTTGTGACAATGACAATAAGAAAAATAAGCACTGAATGTTTGGAAAATGCTAGAATAGGAAGGCATACATGAAGTAATACCAGAATTGAAGATCGAGAGGAAGGTGAAGAATAAACGGACTTGCACCACTGTCACGCGAAGCTGCCAGCCGTTGGGTAAAGTTATTTTACTGACCCCAACCAGGTAGTCTGATTCTAATAGGATGGCTCAGACCAATAGTTGTTAACTTAACGAACATATGGCACATTTTGATTTAGCATTCTTCCAGCTCACTCCGATACCAGCAAACATTGCCTATCGACGTTGGTGGTGACTGGGCATACAAATTAAATTATTTATTCATGGATTGTTATACAGAAATTCAAGCCATTCAATACAGAAACGTTTCAATTAAATATAGCCTTAAGTAAAGAATAAACCCAAACTTTCATAGATTAACTTCCTTCATTACTACTGAAATTTATTTTCGAAACTTACACTCTTAAACAATTTCCTCAATAGAATACAAACCTAAAATAATTCAACAATTTAACGTGTATAGCAATATAATAATACAGGTAATAACAATAATCATGAAAACTTACTGAATTCTTCGCCTTCCAATAAATACCTTTAACTGATGTTGCACAAGATGTTGTACATTCAATGAAAATTCCATTTTCTGTGTATGCTTTTTTATTGATTAGATCAATTGGATTATTTAAAGTACCTAGACCATAAATATGTCCAATCATAGATTTTTCTTGCAATTGGGTTGTATCAACTTTATTAATGATTGCAGGATTTGGATTTATAGGCTTAACACCAGTTGGAAGTGTCAACAGTTTCGGTGGATAAACATCTGCTTTTACTACAGAAAATGAACCAAATGGCAATAACAAGAAAATTAGACATTTTTAATAATATGGTAATGTAGAGATGTTAAACAAATACAAGTTTTGTTTTAATTGTCGAAAAGGTATTACTCTATAGTTTGTTCCAGTGTCCGTCAATGTGATCTAGAGTACTGTCAGAGCTATATAGGTTGTTGTCGTCATATCTTGGTTATCAATCTTGAGAAGGATACGTCTTGAGGTGCTTAAGAAGGAAACTGGCCTATTAGTTGTCATGGAGACTTAAAAACATGATCCCAGAGGCCAAGAGATAACAATTTGAAGGCGCTTGCGCACGGATTTTATGTCAAAAGTTCTTGATGTGTTATCTCTGTACTTTAAATGTCTTATCCTAGGCGCTTTCGATCCACAGGGTATGATCAGATGTTCTGTTTTTTAAATGTCACTGCCATCAGACTACGGTACTGTCAGTGGTAGAACTCTACCTCCGAATATTACGTTGTTGCTCCTATTTTTATTCTTCTCCAACCAACCTATCCGGCATGGTAGGACACAAAGGAATCAGTGTTCAAAGAAATTTAACATGAGTAGATTGTGTTATGTCGGTTGTCGCTAATTGTTGTGTCAAAAACGCTTATTACTTTACTTGTAAAAGAGGAACCACTGACGCGAAGTAAGAACACGAAGACTGATACAAGTAAAGATTCATTAACCCCAAAACACGACGATCCTAGTCGAAAATACACTCATCTATATGTTGATTTTTACACCCATTTTGATTAATAGTTACGATGAAATCATATACATATGAAAAAAACTTAGAGTTATGACAAAACAAATATCATACCGAGTATAGTTCATGTTAATTTTACACATTACAGAATAAGATATCATACTGGAAAATAAAACAAATATTACACTGGGTAATCATCATATTGAATTGAAAAACGGAAGTAATGTTGAACACGAAAGCACAATGAGTAAAAGAAAGTAATTTCGACTTTTCTTCACGTCATATCACCTCCCTTTCTTTTACTAGAATACGTAAGAATGAGTTTTCTGTGGAGATTCTATTCGAAAGGTTGTTGTTCCTTTTTGTGTACTCACTGAGATCTCGGCAGGTCGCATATTCATGTTCCAGCTTCAGTTGGTTTTTTTCAGCCTCATTTGAAAAAAAACATATATTTAACCTTCTGACTTCTATGGTTCGCTCCTTCTTTCAATGCACATATAGTTCTCCCTCCCTCATGTTGAATCTTCATGCACCCATGTCACTAATAATGTAACTTTATTGACCTGAACTGGTTTATCACCACTAGCATCTTCACTATATGTGCGTATTAGGGCATGTGGGTAAACAGAGGTTGATGGATCTTTTGTCGCTCCTGGGCATTCTGGTTTCGCGACTGCTTCACAAACACTTATGCCAATCGATTTGTCATAGCACTGAGGAGGGATTTCATGGGGCATATATGAGGTGTGAGAGCACCCAACATCTGCTACAATGACATCTGAAATGTGACTAGCCTATGACTAATTTGAAACATTTTTCTCACACTGACAAAAAGTGAATGCATTGTGAAGATAAATAAACTTTGCTCTTGGTCCATCAGAATTATAATTGGATTTGAACCCATTGAGAATTTGTGCTTCATACTGACTAAGGTTTTCACAATAAACGAGTGTATTGTGAGAACAAGCAACGTTTGTTATGATATCACCAGAATTTGATCCATTTGGAATATTTTTCTCAAATTCATTAAGAACTCCGTTTGAAACTAATGAATCATTAAGATAGCATTTGATATGACAGTTAGAAATTTGATGAGAAATTGATTCATTTAAACATTTGTCTCACCATGATTTTGAATTTCACTCGAAGTGACTGGATAATTAGAATGAAAGAACATTTGAACATTGCCCAGAGTCAACATTATTAAAGAATTCGTTGGCCTCTTCCTCAATTACAAACCTGTTTCCCATTACATCAGGAAATATATAAGTTATCTTGTAAAATATGTCTATAATTTTTGAGTGGGATTCCGGATTCTATTGTTTGAGCATGTGTTCTTTCAATGCATTTATGAGCATTAAATGAGATTTATTGAACACATCTTCATTAAACTGAAGCATTGACTTCAGTTCATTTCACACAGAAGTTTCTGCGACTGAGATTGACATGTTCGTACACCGGTAACTGCGTCGTTTGTTGTAACAGCGGCTTGATAAATAAAAGCAGAAGTACATTTATACCTAGGGAAACAGAATTTGGGGTACGTTAAACTGACAACTGAGTTATAGCTGGGAACTGCAACTTATAAATTGACATTATCAGCAGTTGTAATGGTTTCTTCCTTCCGAAATTCCCATCGCCAATTTGTTATGTCGGTCGTCGCTAATTATTATATCTGGCTGCGTTAATTAATATGTCGGAATCGCTTATTACATTACGTGTAAAACGAGGAACTATTGCAGGTTCCCACGAAATGCAAGCACAATAACTAATTCAAGGTAGTATAAATTGTTTTGAAATGACTTAATAATGGATATCACCTTTTGGATATTTAGCATAATTTAAAGCATGATTTGTTGAAACTTCAAGTCTCTGTTCGAAAAAATTCACCTAACAAACTGATTGAATTTGAACAAAACTTTATTCGACTACATATATTATTTACAATGATCAGTTTAAAAAAGAAGCTTGAGTTTAATGTTTAGAAATGTACACAACATTAACTTTTATGAATTTTCATATGTACATAAATTATTTGTCTAACAATTTCTACAAACTTTAGTAGACGAATAAATAATATAAACTTTCGATGAAGCTATAACGTCGATAGACTTAAATTACTATAATATTTGTTTACTATTTACAACAATTACTGTCATCCCAAAGACAAAAATCAACAAAAATCTATCGAAATGTTTATTTGATAATTTGACATTCAATAAAATCATTTTCTATTATCTAATCATCATCTCTAGTTTAAATTGGTGACAACTTAAAGAGTATTCAAACAAAAAAGTGCAATTCATTAAAATACTTATTAAAAGTTCTTTTTTTGTTTCTGTTTCAATATTTATCAGGAGTTTAAAAATGAGATTTACACAATTATTATTAGTCTGGTTCCAGTATACATTATTACCTATTATGTTGTAGGTGAATCAATATAATTTTCGAAAGTCGGAACAAGGTTGAATGCATTACAATCGTATTTCTTGATTAAAGAGATTTTGATCGATCCCTGGATGTGTAATAATAATCGGATATACAATATGTCAATATTTAGATATGCTTTGCTTACTGAAACATTATCTAAGTGACATTCACTGATACAATTATATGACCTATGTTAAATGTTTTAGTCAAACAAAGCTGGTTCTGAGGTGGAGATATCTGAAAACAAAAACATGAGTATTGTTTAGGTTTCGGGAAACAAATTTGTAAGGATATAAAGGTATCTCGATTTTCAGCTCCATCGCCTGCATTCATTCTCTCTTTCCAGTCAAATTATCATTTCAGAGGTTTATTAAGTTAGATGCTATCGGATCAATAGACGTGTCAGTTGTCAGATTTTAGTAGCAGTTCTTAATTTTCGTAATCACAGTTTAGCTATCTCATATACCTTTTTCCACTAGTAAGGTCGATGCTGTTTGCAAAAAGATATTTGTAGGTGCCGTATTTTCAACAGAAAACAGTTTGTCTAACAATTAACACCCAATGAAAATGAAATTCGCTGTCATTTCATAATCAGAGGAAGTCAATAAAAAGATAATGGTTGTTATTTAAAATACGTGTGGCGAATGAAAGAGCGCCTTCAATAATCGGTAAGATTGTCGGCTATAAGAAAGTTTGTTGAAATATCTCTTATCTAATAATATAGGCATGTTATTCAAGTTTAATAGTTAGAACTTTATTCAGGTTATGCTTATCGATTATGAGGTACGTTGAAGGCTCATCTGATAGGAAACTAAATAAATACCATTTGCTTATTTTTGACTTCTAGAGCTGAATAATTAGTTACTAATGATTTTCTGTGTGCTAATTTCTGGATGAAAATAATAGCTCGATGTCTCTTCACCATGGACTGTAAAGTGTTTAGATTTTAAGTAGTAGGTAATTTAGACAAAATTTCCACACATATGTTCGACATCGGAGAGGTAGTGCAAACACTGCGTAAATTACGGATCCACCTAGAATGGCATTTCTTCTCAATGATGACCGTGAAAACTTTGTTCACTGGGTTTAATACATCGTAGGTGTTGATATAACATACGAGTGCGATAAAAATAAAATATTTCTATTGGAGTTAGTAACATTAGAAATATCTGTAAAGGCCATACAAATAGCATTTACATTCCCTGCTAATGATATTCAAAATAGTCAGTAAATTGGTAGTGCTGTTTCAAGAAAGCGTATTGACAAGGATACGAGTAAGATGTTCCATGAATGAAAATAGCTCTACTGTAAATGACATCTCATCAACCAGCTATCTGGGAGCTTATCATCATTTATGCTGAGCTCACAAAATACCCAAAGTTTTTCAGCAGGTAAGTTAAAATGGATTATAAGAACGATCTATTTGTAGAACGCGTCTACGAATACACTTTAACTCTTTTTAATCCTACTAAGGAACAACTTTTTATCTTTCAAATAAAATATAACTGTATGATATCAAAAAAGAAGAATACACATATAATCTTTCCTCGATTCTCAATATTTTACTTTGAAGGTCCCAAAATACTCCAAAAAGAAGTTGGTTTTAATAGATTACTGAATGTGTCTATCCTTAAGAATGGATGAGGCCTCATTTTCAGAATAATTTATATACAAGACACCTAGCGATTACTAAACATGACCCACTTTTAGTACAAACATGAACCGATATCATATATACATCAATGTAAAACGAATGGTCATCAATTAATAAGTGACATTATTTTGAATAACTGATATAGCATGAAAAATAACAGGAAATTTCAGACAGTACATCAGTTAATGGTCTGAATTTAC